CTCTTTTGGAAGACCAAACAAATTAGTTTCGCTTTCACAACGAAACACACAGAGGGTTAGAGTGAGCGGAGGCCGGTGGTATAAAGAATATCTCTTTGGGTTTGAGACTTTAGTCTTTGCAACTTTAGGGATCTTCTTTATGCACCAAGAGCTTGTAACACTCCAAAGAGAAAGGAGAAACTGAAATCGCATCATGACCCCTTTAAGAACAAGTCTAACCAATTTGCAGTTAGTAAAGTCAGTCATGCTTTTCAGATTCAAATTAGACTGATGTACATTTTAAATACCAGTTTTTTTATGAGCAGTCTCAAAGAAAAAATGAGATGACTAATTAATAAAACTAGTCTAAGTATTTTATACAACTGGGCCCAGAAAACAGAATCTGAGGATTCTTTCCAAAGTCAAATGGAAAAAATAAGAAGGAAATAAGAAATATATTCTGTATTTAAAAAAAAAAAAAGAATATTTTAGGACCACCATGATTTGTGCATTTGTGACATTATTTTAATGACTGCATTTTTATTTTCTCTTATATTCTCAATTAATATTTATATACTCAATGTTTTTGTCATTATTCATAAAAATAATGTCACAATGCTAAATAGTGTTAAAATAGTTTTCATTTACTGAATTTATTTAATGCAAAAAATAATTCATTTTGAAATATGCAGATTTCTCCATGAGATTCGTCCAAATTTAAATTCAAAGGAAATTAAAGGGGTCATATGATGCGATTTCAAGTTCTCCTTTCTCTTTGGAGTGTTACAAGCTGTTCGTGAATAGATAAGATCCCTAAAGTTGCAAAGACTAAAGTCTCAAACCCAAAGAGATATTCTTTATAAAAGTTAAGACTCGTCCACGCCCTCCAAAAATGCCTCATTTAAACACGTCCCCACATGTCTACGTCACTGTGTGGGACAATTTGCATAACACCGCCCAAATGTTCACGCAAAGAAAGGAGTAACTTTTATTCTCGCTGTAGTATTGTTGCCGTCGCCGCAATGTCGTGGAGACGCTGTGTGTTTCGTTGTGAAAGGGAAAATACTTTGTTTGGTCTTCCAAAAGAGGAC